GAAAGCCTATCGGAAAATGGCCCTGAAGTATCACCCTGATAAGAATAAAGACCCCAACGCCGAGGAGAAGTTCAAGGAGATCGCGGAGGCTTACGACGTCCTGAGCGACCCCAAGAAACGAGCCGTCTACGACCAGTACGGGGAGGAAGGTAAGGGGATGAGCGCTGCCTGCTCGGAGGCAGGGGTGCTGGGTCCAAATCGGTTTTTATAGGTGAGGGAGCGTTTTTGGACAGAGTTGTCCCCTGGTTCATGCCTGCCCCCGAACCGGGGCTGGTAGCCGCAAAACTGGGGAGAGCGAAGGCTCCGCGGGTGCCAGAAATCGCTTCCCATCCCGCTCCTCCCCGGGCTGTTCTGCTTTTCCCACCCGCCACCCTGCTTTCCGGGCTCTCCCTGCCCTCCACCCCAAAACCCCAGCAGCCGGCTGAGACGATAGAAGTGGAAGGGGCTCACCTCCTTGGTCATACCTGGGCTAATTCATTAGCGAGCCTTTAATTGACCTAAATATCCCAGCAGAGGAGTATTGCTTTTGCCCACATTCCCCCCCCCGCATTTGGGCGCTGGTCCCGCTGTCCTCCCCGGTACAGGCTGACCCACAGGATTCAAAGCTTTTCCCAATTTAAGTAATAGGTCCTTGTTTTGAAACCAAGCGGTTGCTGTTGTCTGGTGGTTGGCACGGAGGAGGAGGAGGAGAGCCGCTCCACCGCAGGCAGCCTTATTAGTCGAAGATGGAAGAGCGCAACCCCATTCGAGGAGAGCGCCGAATAGCATCTGCATTAATCAGCCCAGGGCTTGGGTGCTTGAAAGAGCAGGAGGTCTGGCAGGAGCGGGCTGCCGGGTGGGAGAGGCAGCCCCTCTCACGGGGCCAGCAGGCAGGTGCATCCCCTAACGAGCCACCGTTAGGCAGAATTAACTGGTGGTGGGTTAATTCTCGACCTGTTAGTTATGTCAGGGCTGTGACGGGTCCACGGAGGCAGGGTGGTTTGCTGTGGTGTAAAATGAGAAGAGGCTGTCTCAAGTGGGAAACCAGCCTTTCCCCGGAGGCGCCCGAAATCGGACCCCGCTCAGGCTGGCGTCATGGAATTAAAGGTGAAACCTCCTGGCTGTACAGTCTGTTAGGGATGGGGGCTCGCCGTGGATTTGGCGAAATCACCCCCTTGTCGCAGCGGGACAGGGAGTCCCAGCAAAGCCAAACTCCATTGGACCAGTCATGGTCCTGCACCCCTTTGGTTTCCCATCAGATGCCTTTTTTTGGAGCAACGTGTCTTGAGGACTGGCATTTCAAGGGGCTTCTGGTCCCCCACCCACACAGAGTATTAACTTCATCGATCAGAAAAGACCCCCAGACTTGCCCACTCTGTGCTTGTCCCCCTCCTGTCTCCCACTGCGGGGGGCTGGCACGAGGGACAGCCTGTCAGAAATAGCCCGTCACTGTCACTGGTGTGCCCT